TTTGAAGGTGCATCTTACCTCTACAGCTACGGATGCGTCCATATGCCAACTGCACCCTTACTTGTCACTTTGTTAATATTTGTTATGGGTTTGTATACTGTGAGACCATTTACCATTGTTACAAGGATGTCACAATCACTCCTAGCCGTTAGATGCCAAATTGGATGGCTTGGGGTGTTTTACGAAGAAGTTCGAGTAATTTTTTTTAACTTGAGCATACTACTTGTACTAAAAAGTAAATGGTCTCTTTGTATGCTTTTCCATTTGTTATTTGTTCATCAAGTATAAAAAATCTCTGTATCTTCCTTCCCATGTTTCTGTCTTCGAGTTGTTCATCTTTTCTCTGTATGCTATGGAAATAGTCCTACTCTCTGACTTCTCTGTGGGTCTGAGCATTGTCAGCTCTGATTATCCCTTACTTCCACCGGATTTTGGAGCACTTTCAGCTTGTAGTTCATCTCAACCTGCTTATTGGAAAGCTGGGGACCTGTGTCTTCAAATTAGGATTACTGAAGATGGGTTCTTTGTGGTTTTCCACGTAATTGTTCTCTTCAGTTTCTGCTTGATTTTTCCAAATTTCTTAGGTATTGGAAGGTATATTTTTTGGGTGAGGTGAACCTCTCTCTTTTATCCATTTTGCTGTCACAGGTTCTTTGTAGTTTGCCCTTTATTGTTCTATCTTTTCTTTTTTTTTGAAACGCTAACTGTTAGTAGTGGGTTAGCAATTTATGAAACCTTTAGTAGTTTTCGAAAGGGGTTAGCATTGGTAGGGATGGACATCGAGACCGGTAGCTGAGTCACAGGTTTGTCCTTTATTGTTCTCTTCCGTTTCTAATTAGTTTTTTCAAATTTCTTCGGTGTTTATTGTAACATACATGCTTGGCGAGAGACAGAACCGCTTTTGTGCGAGAGATGAGCCTTTTTCTTGTCTCCATTGGGCTGTTTCAGGTAACACATGCAGATTTTAAGAAAGCTAAGGAGAAGGTTATGTTCAAGAAGAAAGAAGGTGTACCTGAGGGACTTTATATGTAACGATTTTATGTGCACCAACTTGGGCATATACTTGTTTTAGATCTCCTCTCGATCTTTCGTGACCCTATTTCATCTGTGATGTCAAAAATAGATGGTGTTTTTGGATATGGTTTTTTGTCTATCCATTATTATTCATATGCTTTTCAATAGTTTATAGAATGACACGGGCTGAACTGACAGTCTTGTGCTAAATATGTTTTATTTTTGAGAACATGATTTCTAGGGTGAAAATTCATTGGGAAATTTGAGAGAAGCTGCAGCTTCCAGGAACCACGGCTTCCACAAATTGTAGCACTCCTGTGTTTTTTATGGTGGACTGGAAGCTATCATTCAGCTTCCACAAACTGTAGCACTCCTGTGTTTGTTATGCTGGACTGGAAGCTATTATGCGGAAGCCGTAGCTTCATGTGGCCCTGAAAATAACATCACTTGATGTTGTTTTTAGGAGGATCCAGGGTTCCTGTTTATCTGACACACTCACACGCTCTCTCTCCCTCTCTCTCTATATATGTGTGTGTGTGTGTGTGGCCCCCTCCCTCTGTGCAATGTTGAGAAGCCAATATTTTCTCTGGTCTGGAAAATATTCTGCCAGAAAAGGACGGACTATGCTAACATTCTTTAGCGGTTGGGTGATAGATATTTTACCCCAAACAAATTGGGAGTGATTGTTTAAAGGAAGACAAATTGGGAGTGATTGTTTAAAGGAAGAGGGGGAGGGGGAGGGGCTCGCTCACAAAAGAAGTCCAGTTTTCCCCTTTAAAAGCCAAGGCCAAAAACGAATGTTCCCTTTTCCTCTCTCCTGTTTGAGCTCCAAATCCTGAGCAAAGAGATTTTAATGAAAAAATGTGTCCTGGTTTGAAATCTAGATGGATAAGAATATGTTCTAGGTTTGAAACTTGGACCGAGTAGTGGCATTTGTGTTATAATGACATTCATTTAGATTATTTGACTACCGCATTAGTGATTTTGCCAAAGGGGTTCACTAGAATTCAAAAAATCACTTTGTTGACTTGTATTGACGGGATACCAGCTAGGGGTGGCCATGGACCTAGACCCCTGGGACTCTAGGGGTAGACCTGATCTGTGGCCATGGGCCTAGACCCCCTGGGACTCGAGGGGTTGACCCGATTTGGGTCTGGGTATGGTCTAAAATTTGGACCTGGCGGGTTGGGTTAGGGTCCAAATCTTGGACCCCGAATGATATTTGGGTCCAGGTTCAGGTCAGATTGGGTCTGGGTCCCGGTCAGTAACCTGGTGCTCACCAAGACTGGGGCAAGTCACTTTATGGCCCCTATTTATAGGCCAGATAAAAGCAATAGCTAAGTTTTTTTTACCAATAATCCATCTCCCATAATTTGAACCACCGTTTTGATCCATCTCGACCCAAATCAGTTGCTCTTACCTCTCAAAAACCTTTCTTTTCATCAAAAGTTATATATATATATATATATATATATATATATCAAATACTCGACCTTATTTTTGTAGTCCGTACCTAAAACCCTAACTATATTATTTCTATGCAATACTCTGTCTATTTAGTTACAACCTAATAC